CTGGAAGCTCCATTGGGCACAGAGGCCTCATTTCCTCTGTCCACTCCTGTGTGGATGGCACCTGGCTGGTCCTACACCTGGCTGCTGGGGGCTGTGCTGCTGGGACATTGATGTGTGTGCATCAGGATTCTCTGCTGATATCAATACTGAGGGGTGGGAAGCTGGTCCCATGTGGCTCTACTCCTGGTCTCCTGGAGACTGTCCACAGGGCTGTCCATGGTGGTCATCCTCCTATAAACTGGCACAACTATGCATGAGGGGGGGCCTTCTCTTCTCTTCCTGACCAACATGGGTTGGTGTTTGTCCTCTGCATGGTGGCCATTCCCTCTGCAGTGAGATGATCTCAGTGGAATTTGGTGGGCATTTCCTCAATTGTTACAGTGTTAACTTTTTCTTACACTTGTTTTCACTTTGATTCTTTCTGTTGGAAAATGTCTGTTTAGGTCATTTGTGCATTTGTTGATTGGGTTATGTGTCTATTTCTGGCTTTAAGTGAATTCCTGATTATACCTGATGTCTATCCCTGTGAGACGAGAGACTGGAAAAGACCCTCCACTCTGCAGCCTCCTTCTTCTTGTTCTTCATTGTTTCTGTTGAGAGCAGAGGCTGTTGCATTGGAGGTCCCCCCTCTTATGGACTCTCAGTCTCATTTCTTGAGCTTCAGGGGCAATATCAAGATTACCACCCACCTCTGTGACAACGTGTCTGAGTGCTGGGCCTGTGATCTCCTAGCAGTGGTAGAGGAATGCTCTAACTCCCAGGTCTGTGCTGCAGTTCACTGGATTTGGGTGCAGGGCGAGAGCTGGGAACCTTGTTTCCTTCTGCTGTGTGTGGGTATCCAGCTTCCCTAAACCTGTGTTTAAAGGCTATCTTTCCTCCAGCATAGGTTGTGGCACCTTGTCAAGGGTCAGACGATGGCATCCATGTGGATTTTTCCCTGTGTTGTCTGGCATGTTGCATCCCCCTGTCTGTTTTCCTGTGAGTTCCAGGCTGCTTTGTTACTGTGGCTCTGCAGTAGATTTAAAGAAGGGAGATTGGACTCCTCCAGCATTGCTCTTGTGCTCAGGATTCCTGTGACTACTCTGGTCCTACATATCTCTGAATGCACTGGAGGACAGCTTTCTGGCTCTGGGAAGTCTTCTGGGAAGACTGTCCCTGGTGTCTGGATGGGGTTGCTGGGAGCATGCAGATCACTCTGATGGCATGGATATTTTGAAAACATGACCCTGCCTTTTCAGGAACATTGAGGTCTTTCCATCTCTTAAGGTCTCCCTTTTCTTCCTTTGGTGTTCTAGAACTTGCACCTTAGAGGTCTTTCAGCTCCATGGTTAGACACATTCCTAGGCACTTGTCATATGTGTCGCTGTTGTTTCTAAGGTTCTGGTGAGTGTCAGTGCTCTCCTTATTTCTTCCTCAACATGTTTGTGAGCTCCTGTTATTGCTTCTTGGTTCCAGTATTAGTGGTGAACTTTGTATCAACAGTGTTCATGAATGATGAGGTAACATGAGATAGAACCAATCAGAGGGAAGAGGATGTGACAGAGTAGTCCTGGGGCACAGAAAGTGTAGGTGGGCCCAGAGTCACACAGTGAGTCAGGCCTCAGTGCACTTGTCTTACCAGTGGGGGAAATGAATCCAAGCTGACATAGAAGGGCAACACTGTCACACACCCCAGGACAGAGCTGCTCCTGGTCATTGTCCAGCACCATGCCTGCTTAGGACTGTGTGTCCTGCTGCTCTGTGATGATCAGGGCTATAGGTGTGTTCACAGCAGAGTCAGCAGAGCTCCTGAGACTTTTAGGCTGTGACATCATGATGGCCACCATGGACTGGGAGAAAGAGGCTCTCTGTGTTCTGTTGAGGCCTCTGGGGTCATCAGATAGTAGCCTTCTTCGAAAGAAACATTGATCTATGATATCTTTAAAATCCAGGGACATAATTAAGAAACAGAACAACCAAAAAACATAATGACAGTTGAAAGTGAGTTCCTACATTATTAGAAATTGCATTAAATGTGTATGAGTGCACACAGTAAAGTCAGCTGTGTGCAGAACTGTGGGAAGCTGGTGGAACCCCAATTTGTTTAGGAACAACACAGTCTCTATCCCATAAGATTAATAAACTGAGTGGGAGATGGAGAGAGTGGCCCAGTGAGTAGCATGGAGAGCTATGGCAGTGCTGAGCAACCAAACCCTAGAAGACACTCAGGACCAGTGACAAGGGGCTTCTATAACAGTGGGTCTACCTTCAGGAAGCAACAGCAATGGTAAGTGTGTATACATTAGCAACAGAGCCTGAGCACACCTCAGGGAAGATGGAAGCACGTTGGTCACACTGTGTGGTGATCCCCAGTCCTTGTTCCACAGTGGACAGGAGCAGCACACTCACCCTCCATGGCAGTGGACAGCACCAGGCCCCTCAGAGCAGCAGGTGGAGCAAAGCAGAGCTGCCCTGCATGCAGCGTCCCCAACACAGCAGTGTGCTCCTGGCTTAGTGTCCTCAGCATGTTCTGCAGGTGAGTCACCTGACACCTAGAGGAAGTGTCTGTGACTTAGGTGACAGGAGCCTTGCACAGGAGGATCCTCAGGACTGACAGAAGTGAGGGAGAATGGGCTATGATAGGAACTCCACCCCTTGTCCAGGAAGCCAGGGATCAAGGAGAAGTAGCCCAGGAGGACCGAAACACTGTGAGGACAGAGAAAGCAGAGGAGAGCCTCCCTAAGTGTGTGGAGGCAGCGGAGGCTGTGCTCAGGAGGCACGTCTGGAGCAGCAGCAGTGCCACCATGAGGAACCCTCATCATGAGCTGCTGCTGCAGTCCAAGCTGACAGCATAGCTGGGGACAGCAGGTTCTTCTTCCCCTCCACAGACACCCCCCAGTTCCTTGGTGCAGGGTTTGTCCCCATCAGACTCTGCACTCTGAGGGCTCCCAGGTGGACTCTCACCCATCACGAACACCTGTGTGCACAGGTCAGCACCTGGGGTAATGACCACCTTCCCATCTCCAGGGGCCAGTGTCCTCTCTCTTTCCAGGACCTGATGCAGTAGCTTCCCCACATGAGGGATGGTGAGGTGATGGTCTCCCTCTGCCTGACCCATTTCAGCTAGGTCCATGTGCTCCAGGGCCATGCCCAGGGCCAGCAGGGAGAGGATGCCATTCTTGTTGACTAACTTTATTCTTCCCCTGTGGACAGCAGATTTTTCCACATCTCGTTTAAAGGACAACTTGGGGATAAAGAAAAGGTCCTCAACACTCATGGAACTTTAATTAAGGACAGGCCTCATGAACTCCACTTCCCACCTGATGTGCACACTGGGCAGAGCTTCTGTCCCCAATCCTCAGGCTGTCCCATGCCATGTCTCTGCTGGCCTCAGGTCACACTGCATAGGGTGGGCTCCCTGACTGCTACTCTCCACACTGGCCCTGCAGCTGGCAGACCAACACTGTTGGGGCCTTAAAGGTCATGCTCCCAGGCTCCACTAGCATGGCATATGGGGACTGTAGGGGCCACACCTAGGGCAGAGCTCTGCCTCAGCTAAGGCCTACCCAGGGCATCTCCTGGAATGTAGGTGGAGGAGGACCCACCTCCACACTCTGGCACCCTGTGTGCCTGTAGAGTGAGCACCATGGATGCTGCCAGGTTGGCTCCTTGGTGACTATTCCAGCTCCCAGATCAGAGCTCATACAAACCAACCCTTTACCCAGTCCCAGGACTGCATCCACCTCTTTAGATGTTCACTATGATCACCACAGGCCCCAGCACCAGGGTGGCTGAGTCCAGTCTGTGCTGCTCTGAGCAGCTCCTGTGACTGAGGGTTCACAAGGAGAGAGCTGTGCTGCAGCAGGTTCTGGATACCAGGGTGCAAACACCCAGGTGCTGCTCCTGACCAGGGCTCCTGAGGCTGCAGCACCACATGGCAGGAGGCAGGAGGCAAAGAAAGGAGATGGGGCTGGACCCCTGAGTGGTGCTGGGATCCCACTGGGGCTCAGGGTGCTAGGAAGGCTCTACCAGCACTGGGGGAATCCAGGTGGCCAGGACCAGGGTGTCATTTGTCCTCTAAATGCTGGGACCATGCGGACATGTGAAGAGAGACATGGAAGCAGTACTGAGGACATGTGGCTGTGATTCCAGGAGGATTCCAAGACACTTCATTCACACAGAGAATCCCTGCCTCCCCCAGGTCTTTGTGCACAGGAGGAGAATGGGAGGCCTGGATCACAGATGACAGATTAAGTAGACCAAACCCATGGGGACACTGGCTGGTCCTTCTCCCAGGTCCCTCACAAAAGTTGGATATATATGGCCCCATGTGGACTCAGCCCATGACAACTGAAAGTGAGGAGAGAGGCTGGGTTTCTCTCTCCCCACACTTGTGCCCTGTGCCCACCACAGTTGGCAGCAGCATGTGTACCTGAGGGCTCTGTGCCAACTGGATGCTCCTGAGCTGAAGGAGGCCCTCACAGGGAGGCACAGCCTTTCCACTGCAGGGAGCCTCTGGGGCCCTCAGCTGGATGCCTCCCTGGAGAGCAGATGGCAGCAGAGGGGAGAAGACACACAGCACATTTCCAATGCAGGAGGGTTCTGAGGACCTCACCAGGTGTGTGCACCTGGGAGCTGGAGGAGGGTCAGGGAAGCAGTCATGTCCACGGGGAAAGCAGAAGACCAAATACAGGACCACTCATCCCAGATATGAGCTGTTGGACAGTGAACCAGCACTCATTCTTCTGTGTATGATTTTGCATTTGCATCAGGGTGTTAACATTGACACCTCCATCATATGATTTTGTGTTTATATTAAATAAATTAAGATTATGTACAATAAGATCATAGCAGAAGCAATTGAACTTCCTGAATGCTCCTCTGTGCACCATGCTACCCATGACACTCCCATCTCCTCTCAGAGTTGTTCTACCTGGGCCTCCACCCAGAGCTGCTATATAGCAGGAGGACATGCAAATAGGGCCTCCCTCTGCTCATGAAAACCAGCCCACCTGACCCTGCAGCTCTGCACAGGAGCCCAGCCCTGGACTCCCAGCTCAGCCCACTCAGTGACCAGGACTGAACACAGCTGCTCACCATGGAGAGTGTGCTCAGCTGGGTGTTCCTGGTGGCTGTTTTCAAAGGTAATGAATGGAGAACCAGAGATCCTGAGTGTGTGAGTGGACATGAGGGAGAGGGAGAGTGGATGAGTGCCAGTGTCCTGACCAGGCTGCCTCTGTGTTTGCAGGTGTCCAGTGTGAGGTGCAGCTGGTGGAGTCTGGGGGAGGCCTGGTGCAGCCTGGGGGTTCCCTGCGACTCTCCTGCACAGTCTCTGGATTCACCTTAAGTAGCTACTACATGCACTGGGTCCGCCAGTCTCCAGGGAAGGGGCTAGAGTGGGTTGGTGTAATTAACCCAAGTAATGGTAACACCAACTACCCAGACTCTGTGAAGGGCCGATTCACCATCTCCACTGAAAACTCCAAGAACATGCTCTATCTGCAAATGAACAGTCTGACAGTCGAGGACACGGCCACCTATTACTGTACCAGAGACACAGTGAGGAGACCTCAGTGTGAGTCCAGACACAAACCTCCTGCAGGGTGCCCAGGGCCAGCAGGGGGCGCTCAGCACACAGGAGCTCAGGTCAGCCAGGAGCAGGTGCAGAAGGAGTGGGGCTGGATTCCTGCATCTGGGGCCTCTCATGAACCAGCTTCCCAGGGGAGCTCTATGTACATATTTTCTGTAATGACCTGTGAATTCTCTGAAAGTAAAACTTTAGATTTTTAATTATTACTTCCATTTTTATTAGCACATCAATATTATACATAATTCTGCATTTCAATTTGACATAATTTAAAAATTATGGAATAAAATTTCTTTCCCTTCACAACCTAACTTCCCTTTCCCTCCCCTCTCCTTACCGTCCCTCCTTACCCTATTCCTCTTCCTTTTCTTAACACATCTTTTTAGTGATCTGTTTACATTAGTGCTTCCTAGAGCACATAAGGGGAAATCCACTGTGGTGTCCTCACACAGGGGCACAGGTGGTTGGTCAATTTCCTTCCACCTCCCCTCCCATCTCTGTCCCTCTTTCCTCACCCTTGGTCCCCTTCCTCTCCTCCCTCCTCCCTCTTCTGTTTCCTTGGGATTCCTCCTAGTACTTTTTGTTTTTTGGTCTGGATTTTGCATTTCAAAGTAAACAGTTCACATTTCACCCTCAGAATCTGCTTTATAAACATGATATTCTCCAGTTCCATCCATTGACCAGGAAATGCCCTAATTTTCCTCTTCCTGTGGCTGAGTGAGACCCTCTTTTGTGTATACACCACCTTCTCTTTATCCATTCATCTGTGATGGGCATCTGGAACATTACGTATATAGCTGTTCTCAGACCCTCTGGTATAAGCACTGATGTGGCTGTACAGCTGAGCTATGCTGGATTTAGTTCTTTGGGACAAACACTGAGGAGGGGAGAGCTGGGTCACATCGTGTCTCCATTTCTGGTCTTTCCTGAAACGTCCATTCTGATTTCTAGAATGGCAGCACTAATTTATACTCCCAACATCATTAAACCCGTGGATCTATTTCCCACATCTTTGCCAACATTTGTTATTATTTGTGTTCTTATTGATTGCCTTCTAATTGGTGTGATGAATTTTAAATGTAATTTTGATTTGCATTTCCTGATTGCTAAGATTATTGAGCATGATTTCCTATATTTGTTGGCCACTATTATTTCCTATTCTGAGTAGTCTATTCAGTTCTGTTCCACTTATTTATTGGGTTATTTGTGTCTCATCATAAAGTGCTTTGGGTCTTTATGTATACTGGATATTAGTGCCCTAACTGGGGAGCAGGTGGCAAAGATCTCCCATTCTGAAAGCCCTCTCCACACTCCTGTTTCCATTGTTGTGCTGAAGGTTTTAACTTGATACTGTTCCACTTAGTGATTCCTGGTTTTGATTCTTGCACTTTAGTCACCTGGTAAAGGAAGTTGGTTCCTGTGTCATACAGAGGAGGGTTGGTGCAATATTGGATTCTAGCCCTTGTAGACTTTCCACTCTAATTCTTTTGATTCTAATCAACTTTGAATTGAATTTTGTGGGGTGAGAGACAGTGACCTATTATATTCTTTCACAAATTGATATTCAGTTTTCCCATCTCTATCTGTTGAAAATTCTAAACACATGTGACATACACAAACTGAAGCACAAATTGAAAACTTTGTCAATTGTCCAAAAAAAAAAAAACTGCACTTATGTTGGTTTGTCTCTGTATCTTCTCCTCTATCCCACTGGTCTTCATGTCTGCTTTGGTGCCAATACCATGCTGGATTTGATACAGTAGGTCTGTCAAGTAATCTGAGGTCAGATATTGTCACATCCAGGTTCACTCTTCCTTCTTAAGATTGCTTTGGCTGTTGTAATTTCTCCACACATATATTAGGACTCTCTTTTCTATTCCTTTTAAGAATGTATTTGGTATTATTTGGAGATGTCATTGCATCTGTGTGACACTTGGGTTAGTTTGGCCACTTGATAATATTCACTCTCACTGTACAGGAACATGGTGGGTCTTCTCATATCAAAGTTCTACAGTTTCTCCCTGTGGTGTTTGCTGTTTCTATTGCAGAGATTTTTCAGCTCCTTGATTGTATTTTTTCCAAGTATATTTTACAGTTATTTAAAAAGAGATCATTTTCCTGATTTCTTTATCAGCAGGCATATTTTATTTTATTTTTAGTTGTAGGTGGACACAATACCCTTAGTTTACTTATTTATTTTTAGGTGGTGCTGAGGATTGAACCTAGGTCTCATGCATGCTAGGCAAGTGCTCAACCACTCAGCTACAACTCCAGCCCCAGTAGACCTATTTTGGTAGAATAATAAAGTGGTTTATTTATGTGTGTATGATGTATTCAGCTACATTGCTAAAGTTATTTACAGGATCTGGAAGCATTTTGATGGGGATGTTGGTTCTTCTAGATAGTGGATCACATCACCAGCAGGTAGCATATTCAGACTTCTGTCCTTCCTTCTTCTTTAACCTTTAATTTCCTTCTCTTGCTTAATTACACTGGTTAAGAGTTTTTAGAAACCATGTTCACAATACAATCAAAGAAACAAAGAGATGGTTCCTAGAAAACATGAAGAAGATTGAAAAACCCTTGATGAACTAAGGAAAATGAAAAACAGAAGATCCAAATAAACAGAATTAGTGATGAAATAGAACACATTGCTACTCTAAAATTCAGAAAATTATTTGAAACTCTTTTGAAAAATATCCTCCAGTAAACTAGAAAAACTTGGAGAGATTGAAGAAAATTCTAAACACGTGACCTACACAAAAATATAAAAATCTAAGACAGAAAAAATATTAAACAATAAAGTTGAAAAGTCATTAAAGTCCTTCCAAGAGAGAAAAGCCCAGAAACAGGTTGATTCTCAGCTCATTCAAAGAGAATTTAAAGAAGAGATAAGGCCAACTTCCTCATATTATTCCATGGATTTGAAAAGGAGAAAACATTGAAACAAATTATTCTAAAAAGCCAGTAACACACTGATACCAAAACGTAACACAGACACATCCAGGAAAGAAGGCTTCAGACCAACATCATTTTAGACCACTATAAATGCAAGATTCCTTAATAAAACATTGGCACACGCATTCAAGGGCAGATAAGAAGGTAGTGCATCATGATCAAGTGGGTTTTCTCACAGGGTTGGGAGACCAATAATGTAATTTTCATATGTGACTCACCACATAAATAGAGTTGAGGACAAGGATCACACCCTCACATCAAAGGATGCAGAAAAAGCATTGGACAAAGTCCAGCCCTCAATCATGTGTAAGGACTGGAGAATCAAGGGGCATGGGAACCTGACCTAAACCTCATGAAGACTATAAATGACAAACCCAAGGCCACCACCATCTGAATGGAGATAACAATTCCTCTCGGCTCTGGACAGGACAACACTGTCCACTCTCCCACTCTGATTCCCTGGGGTCCCTGCACTGCACACATTGACACAGGAGCATTTTCACATGAACAACATGCAGAACAGCTTTATTGAGGCTGAAGTGACTTCCCTGTGGTCACCAGGGTGAGAGGTGAGGAAGCTCAGAGGACCCTGGTGAGTCTTTTCCATCAACTCAGGGGACAGTCTGCAGTAGGATTCCCTGATTAGGGTCATAATTGAGATTCTCTCTATCGCAAAGGGAGTCAGTCTGGGTTGGTACCATGGACACCTGGTGAACCTCAGGCCTATGGTCCTCCTGGATCCCAAGGAGTCCCTGAGACTCAGCACTGGTCCTCTGGCACTTTTGCTCCTTGTAAATGGAAGGTGTGGGGCTGAGGATCAGGTGAGGTTCCTGCAGGGGGATAGGCAGCCAGGCTGGGTCACCACAGCAGCTAAGTACTAGTGAGTGGCAGGGGGTCTCTGACCAGCCCACTCAGCAAGCCCTGTCCTAAGCAAAGTCTGCCTACCCCAGACCTGGCACCTGAGAACAGGAGCCTGACTGCCCAGGTCCTGCCTGAGACTGCAGATGGCCCTGCACCTGAATTGTCCACAGCAGTCCTAGGAGGGGCAGAGGGGAGACCTGATGGACATCCAGGGAGGGAGTGTGATGACCACTGTGCAGGAGCTTCTGAGAGGGTGACTCAGATGTCCTCCATCACTGTCCTGCTGAACTCTGATCCAGAAAACAGCCACCACCATGACCAGCACATCCAAGAGCTCTCTGCTGTGGAAGCCCTCACCAGGGCAATCAGGACACAGTCTAGGGGACTCCAGACCCCAGGGGCCATTAGGGTCAGAGTCAAGACCTCTCCTTGGTCCTGTGGCCATCGTCGCCATCCTCATCAATATTCCTGAATGAATTTGCTGTTGCTATTTCTAAAACTTCCAGGGAAGTGAGCAGGAAATACCAGCTTCCACATTCAAGTGGAGGCCAGACGTAGGAGACACATGACCCCATCCATATGAATACATCAGAATGAGAAAGTAACAGGATCCCCGAGCCAGAGCCAGTAGGGACTTCCATCACTTGTCCATGTTGGGAAGGGTCTACTTCCTTCCTGGGTCATCCTGGGTACTTGGAAGTGGTCCAATGCCCTTACCCATGACCTCTTTCTCTTGGGTGCAAGAGCGCAGCTGCTGGCCCCACAGCTGTGGTGTATCCTCCAGACTTTCTTGTGTAATGCTCATCATTTTTACTGCTTTAGAGTTAATCATAACATTAGGGTTTGTGTTCACATAATTATTCATATCTGGAATATAATTCACTCCTTTTCAGTCCCAACTCTCTTGCCACAGACACAGAGGATTTCAGAAACACTTTCAGTCTCCCACAGGGGACTCCCAGGGAGAGTGGGCACAGCAGGACTCATCTTGTTGGGGGCACCAGGAGGGAGAGCTGAGCCCCAGAGTGAATGTGAAGCTCGTCCTGCTCCAGACTTCTATGGCAAGAGTGTCCAAGATCTGGAGGCCATGTCACATCTCCTCATACCAGGGAGCAAAGCCAAACTCACATTCAAAGCTGTTGTATTTTTGCTG